GTCTCTGTTCATAGCCATCATTCGTTTAAAGACAATGTTCAGAAGATGAATGTAATGGAAGCTAGGATTGTACGATTGATATTTTATTGTGCAAGAATAAACAAGATAAGAAAAAGAATTAGTGGAGATAACACTGATTGGTGAGAAATTAGAGAAGGAAACCTTAGCTTGTTGGGACATTTTTTCTGTTATCCAATGAGACTTGTGTTTCATAAGAGTGACACGTAAAAGGGTCTCTTTTTTTTTTTTTTTTTAGAATCTAGTTGCTTTGAATCTTTAAACTTGTTTGGGAAGTGTTTATAAAAGGTTTAAATAATAAATAGATAGAAATAAATGATCAATACCGTGCAATGAGGCTAGTCTATCAAGGTACTTTCATATGGCATCCTTTTCTGTCTGTCCTGGTGTTATTTTGGGAGTGATAATTGAATTCTTGTTCTGGTTTGCATCTGGCCTTTAGTTGTTTCAAGCATTTTTATGCTTCATTGCGTTCCAAATTTCTCATCAGGTTCTGCGTGATCTGAACGTTAAGAAAATGGTAATACCTGCAATATCCGAACTAAATGAAACATGGACAAAAAATTTTCACTTTGCACCCTTAGAAGAATCAAAGAGACGAGAGATGAGGACCATGAGTATGTTGGTGTTCCCGGGGACTGATATGTTACAGAAGCCTCTACTGAAGCATCCGTTGGCTGAAGGGCAAAGGACTGCTACAGGTATTTTGCATATATTAATGCGCATTACATGTTTGATATGCATTATAGGACACGATTGAATGATATAATGAACAAGATTTTTTTATTTTTTCATTTACCATGATCCAAAGCTATCTAATTCTCGTTTCCAAACATGCATGTAGAGTTCAAATTATCTGCATATCATTGTTCTTAGTTCCTTCTCTTCGTTTTAGACGAGGAGTCAACTAAAGCTCAAACTGAGCATCAAAATATGCAAGAGCCTTATGATGATATTGGTGGTGTAGCTTCTGCACCCAATCCCATTTCCTCAGAGGTCGGAATCCTGAATCTCAACGAACCTGCTGCTATTGAATATCATGCCAGCGTACCTGATTGCTCCAATTATGCATTCAATAATAAAACTGGGATGGTTGAAGAATCGCCTAGCGATGAAAATGAAAAGTGTCTTGACCATGTTACCGTAAATTCAAAAACCTCCACAAGTGATGCTCAGCTCGAGACACAAATATCAGTTGAGGAAATCAATAATTGTTCGAATGGTATTATCCCTGACGGGAAACTCGTGAAATGTAACTAACGAAATATACGTGGGAGAATTTACTTTTGTTGTAGATGGGGAGACGAGAGAAACAAGGAATGTTATGTTTTGAACTGGATGGCTTTACTATTTGCCACGTTAAGTTAACTCTGGTATTCCCTTTATTTTTGGATAGGGTATGAATTTGTTTCTAAGATATGTTGTCCATAATTAGCATGTATAGGACGTTAATCATCTTATTCCAACGTTCAGTTTTTGGTTCCATTTTGTTAAATTTTCTGCACTGCACTGCACTGAACTGAACTCAACATTTCGTTTTATTTATGCCTATGGATCTGGACCATTAGGTTCTTGGTGTCAATTGGTGAGCATCTCTTGCTACTTTATAAAAAAAAAAAAAAAAAAAAAAAAAAAGTAAAAGTTGATTTTAAGTAATCAAAATGTTTTGACACGTTTTTATTTTCTTTTGAAGTAGAAACAATTAATTTTTAACTTACTATCACAAAAAATAATTTGCTTATTTTGATTTTGAGCCTATCCTCTTAATTTTTGAGAGTAGTTCCTCATTTTAAGTCCAAAAGAAACTGGATAAAATTAGAGTGAATTTCAGGAGCCTACTTTGAAGTTTATGGTAATTCTAGAAACATCGAGTCTTCTTTCGAAAATTTTAAAAATCATCCATCTTTATATAATTTGAGTTCTGTCCTTTTATCTTATGTTGTACTTGTTAATACATACAGGTGATTATATTTGCTTCAATTATATTTTTTTTGTTTTTCTAAATTTAATTTAGTTGAAAATAAATTGTTTTGATTTTAAAATGCTTATTTTTTAAAATCCTTTTGTACATAGTTATTTAATCTTCTTCTTGTTGTTATTATTATTATTATTATTTTTTTTGTGAATATTGATTTCTCATTTAATGGATAAACCAAAATTGATCGTATATTTTAATAAAAAGATGAACCAAAAATAATCTAAGATTAAATTATTTTTGAAACATCAAACATGAAACATGAAAGATGTCTCTGACGCGACCTTCCAAAGAAACGGAAAAATAGACAGCTGCAAAAGACTCCAAAAAGATGATCATCGGATGGTGTTACTTTGGACTTGCACATATCCCTTTTTTCATGTACAATTCACGACTCACGAGAATCCATGTTTCGATCCACAAATAGAATCGAGGAAGTGCGTGGGTGGGAGGCTCAAGATTTTTTGTTTTCTCCTATATTTTAAAATGTCGACATTTTTGTCCAATTTAATGTTTTCCTCGTGGGCTGATTGATAATATCGTTATGAAAACAATAAGTTGACGAGTTAAATGGTAACAAAAAAATAAAAAATAAAAAATAAATAAAAATAAAATCCCTCTCCCACTCCGTCCGACCCGGCCTCGCCTAGGAAGCGAGTCGAGATGGAAAACATTGCTCGATCACTTATTTTTTTAAAAAAATATTTTTATGTATCTATCTTATTTTAAAAATAAGTACACGTGGATATGTTAATCCCCCTTGAAAAATCTTCAACGAAAAGGGCCGCTATGGTCCTATCACACCGCACCCCGTTATCATCCTTAGAGTCAACTTTAAGAGTCCAAAAAGTCATTTAACTTCGAGTTTTGTTTCTTGAATTATTTACTTTCAAAGTGGTCACTGAACTTTCCGAGTTGTTTTAGGTTGTCAATTAGTCATATGACTTGTCCTTAATCATTCTAGAGAACTTGAAAAGTAGTTTGCAATGAACTGCATTACATTTAATAGACTCGAAATGTGAGATGCCCCGGCAATTCAAAATTGAAGTGCACCATGATGAATCTTCAGCTCATATCACATTATAGATCCACTAGGGTGACTCAGGATGAGTAATATCATTTGGTATTTTCATTGCTACTTTAGCCAAATAAAATCAGTCCAAAGAAAAATATAGAATTAAATGATCTTATAGAAGTAAATTAAAGATAAATGACTAAATTAATATACCTCAATAAGGTAACCTTTTGGATATTATTTTGAAAAAATTAGGATTCCGCCCCCAATCTTTCAGTGGGGTTTGGATCCTAACACTCTAAAGTAAGGTCCTAGGTACCCACGTGATGAAAAATGTCAATGTAGATATTGAATTACAAAAAACTTTATCTAAGAGTAAAAATCTTCAAAGTATTTTACGTCAATTTTAAGTCGCGTTAATGTCTAGTGCGATGTTAACGTTCATTTTGACAGTTTTGTCAAGTAAAGACCTATCTTTTAAATAGATAAGAAATTCATAACTGACTAGAGAGCCAATCATTAATCATCCCTATTTTTTAAGAAAATGGCTAAGTGCTGTATACTTAAAGCCCTCTCACAAAAAGTGGGCCCACTCTCGAATGTGATAGGGACGTTATAATTGTTGTCAAAACAACTATACCTGTAGCAAGTTTGATTTTTTAACCATATACGAAACCATGAAGGAGAGAAAAACTGAATGAATCATCAGGGTAAAAAGGAAGGAAATTTACTGAGCGAATTTAACAGGAGCAATTATTCGGAAGTACGAAGCCCAACTCACGAGGGGACATTTTTTTGATGACCATTATCATGATCAGAGCCATTGGCTGTGTGTCAGGACTCTGTACATTTTTAACTTCTAACCTGACCACTGCTAACTGAATGAAAAACAAATTAGCATGCATGACTCACTAAATCACAAACTTTTATTTATTTTTCAAGAAAGACCTTATAATTTCACCAGCTTTGGCGATTCCATTACAAAATGGTGTGTTTAGCTGTATTTTCGTTAATGCTAACTGACCTTGCTCAACTAGACATGGTCGTTTAAACTACATTCCCGTTGACGCCTCCCTTCCCATAAATGATTCTCCCAAGACGACTTGTGCTAGTTGATCACAACTTATTCTATAGCCAATTGACCTATTTCCCTCGACTCGACTCATTTTTTGTCGAACGATCATTCTTTGCAGGCTCCAAGGTGATATTTCATCCAAATTTAATTTAAGATAGTAAAAAATCACCATGGTCAATAAAACACAAGGGTCCATGGATTTGTTTTCTATTACCATTGATAACCAGAGGGCCATAATAAGCCAAAGTTTCCCACTTTCCCGTGACTGGAACCTGCACAAAAGCTCATAAAAATCATAGCTTTCTATCGTCAGTGATTCAGTCTCCACATGACTGCATCCATTGCTCTCCCTTGCTGTCACTTTCTCCTTACTTCCCCCTCTCAAACACACGGAGTAACAACTTTTAGATTTATATACATATCTCTAGAGTGAAAGTAAGGCAAAGAGATGGAACCAAAAATGTCAAGTGTCAAACAAGGATCCCACTGGAAACAAACATCAAACAGTTTGTGTGCGAGCAATGGCAGCTGCTATGATTATGAAGGTGGGTTGGTACCAAATCTGAGGCAAATGGAAGGGCTTAACAACATGTACAACAGCAGTAGTGACAACGTTGGTGTGTTGGTAATGAAGAAGAGAGTTATGGTGGTGGTGGATCAGTCTTCACATTCCAAACATGCAATGATTTGGGCACTTACACATGTAACTAATAAGGGTGATATTCTTACTCTTCTCCAGATTGTTAGTCCTTGGAAATCTGAGGGTTGTGAGTTTTCCTCTCCTTGTCTTGCTACGTCACTTGGATCCCTTTGCAAGGCATGTAAGCCTGAGGTGAGTTTTTGTCTTTTATCTGCTTATGACCTTAGTTTTCTGAAGAATGTCGCAAGTTAGAAGTTACTTAAAATAACATTTACTTACTTTTAAGCTTAAGCAAACGTGGGTTTTGTCCTGGCGATAATCAGGTTGAAGTAGAAGCACTTGTAATCCAAGGACCAAAGATGGACACAATAATGAGCCAAGTGAAAAAGCTTGAGGTTTCTGTGCTAGTCTTGGGGCTCAACAACTCCCATCCAACATTACTCAACTGGTGACTACTTTGTTCCACAAGTAATGTTATTTGTACATAATGATGTAACATGAAAGAGAGAATAATCGAATTTCTTCTTTTCGTCTCTATCTCTCTGTTTGTGTGAGTACAAATAGCATTATCTATTTCCTAGTATTTGTTCGTCCATGCGACGACATATCATACACGCATTTGGTACGTTTCACAATTTTGATACGTTTTCTTTTCCGGCAGTCTGTGCCTGAAAAACAGCACCGAGGAATTTGTGGAAGAGTGCATAGATGTTTTGGAGTGCTTGACAATTGGAGTTCGGAAGCAGTCGAAGGGAGTTGGTGGATACCTTATTAGCACCAGATGGCATAAAAACTTTTGGCTATTGGCTTAGTGTAATTTTTATAGTGCAGTTTGGTACATAGGACTGGACAGTTGAAGATCAAAAGCTTCTTACGAATCCTTTCACCAAACATGCAGTGTGTGTAAGATAGGGAATAACTTAATTTGTATTAGTCTGTATTTTTCATTAAAGAACATCTTTCTGTTATCTTACCTTCTAATTGGGTGCATAAATGGCCATCTGGGCTTTTTTGGGCCCCGTCATTTCACAAGCTAGGTCCAAAAAGGGTCGAGGCCCAATCCATACAAGGCCCATGGGTCTTGATTTCAATTTTTGTTTGTTTGTCATATTGGACCATGCATGTGAAGGGCAGGCCTAGAGCGAAATAAGGGCATTAGTGCAAAAGGACACAGCTTGTTATTGCTTAAGGTAGTGACAACAGTATTAGACAATATTAACGTATACACAATTTGCATTAGAATAATGCTATTTAACATCAACCTAGATGGCCACACTTAATAAGTTCAATTAAATTAATCATGTAACATTACATTTAAGTGAATCCATCATTTAGGCCCCGTTTAGTAGCCCTTTTTTTTCAAAATGCATTTTTCTTTCACTTCTTTTCAACCACACATTCTTTATTAAAATAATATTACACGTTAATAAAAAACTTTTCCTTATTTCTCAACCACACATTTCATATCAATTTACTATTCTAAAATACATTTTTCCATAAAAATGCCTATCAAACACCCTCTTAATGCCATGCAATTGTCATTTAAATTGATGTCATCGGTGGTGTTGAATAACATTACTCTTTGCATTAGTGGAAAAGGGCAGGCCTGGTACTGTATAAGGTAGTGTCAACAGCATTACACTATATTAACGTATATGCTACTATACTATAAAGGCATTCCCATATGCCCAATACTGCATGCATCCTCAGAGGCCATGAAAACTGGAGTTAAGATTAAGATATTGCCAAATCAATAGCATCTTGAGGAGTGCAGCATACTCTCCTCAAACATGTTTACAAGTAGATCCTGGACTTTTAATGTTCAAAAGTTTGTTATAAGAATAAATGTCCACAACTATGACTAAATAGTAGACAGTAGTAATGTCTCCAGGCGGGAAAGAGGGGGCCAAAAGGGAGAAGTATTAATAGATTTTTCGATATAACCTGCTCGGTGATTTCGCAGCAACAAATACTATTCTCTTTTTATATCAATCATCTGTTCAGGTCTCCCAAACTAGCAGACCTCATGTTCTTGCACGACCAGCTTGGTTTAAACTTTATCGTCTAATTTTTCATTAACTAAAGGAAGCAACTCCATTTTACCCCTTGGAGCTCGGGGTGTTTGAGGGGTCCCCGGTGGTTGTTGTGCAAGCATGTGCCTTATGTACCCATAGAACGTACATCCACAAAGAGTTATACCACATCCAATGGCATTCATGGCTGAAATCGGGTTCCTAAAGATCAACCATGAACATGTAACAGCAACAGCAACCTGTGATGCATGACAACAATGATTAACAAAGACGGCAAGGCTTCAACAAAATAGGACAGCTTCTTTTATGAGAAGATACGTGCTAAGTCTATGTTTGATACACAGAATTGAATAGGACTAGACGATAGAGTTTCATCAAATATGGGAGGGAAATTGATAATCTTCTGTGATTAGTTTATCATCTTGCTTCTTTTAGCCTGAGGTTCTTGAATGTTTAATCAATCTATACCTTCAGTATTTTCAACCAATGATATCTTGAACTACAGTGCCCTATATAAATTCAAGATATCTTCGAGCTTGTTCGGCTAAGCTTAAAGATAAAGTAGAGATACTTATAAGTAACTTTTAAGCTTAGCATGTTTGAACTTTTTTAGAGGTGGTTTTGGGAGTAATTAGCTCAAAAACTTGCTTTCTAAAAGAAAGACTTCATTTACTTTCAAGAAAAGAACTTTTACTTTTTTTTCAGGCTTAGCCAAACAATGCTTGAAGTATTTTGATCACCCGTCGTATTGCTGATAAATCAAGAGCCCTACCCCCAACTTTTCCAAATTTATCCAACCTTCCTAATTTGACAAATTAGTTTCCCCACAGATAGCGTCTGATATCAACAAGGGGATATCAAGATGGTCATCCAAAATATGAATCTGTACAACTTATACTATTATTAACATAGAGTATGTTTATTTCAGAAACTTTCTGATATTTCACAGACATGAACTGAGTAACAGTCACACTGCAAGCTAAGAAAGTATACTGGATAAAAAAAAAAAAAAAAAAAAAAAAAAAAAAAAAAAAAAAAAAAAAAAAAAAAAAAAAAGAAAAGAAAAGAAAGAAAAAAGGGAAAAATCCTCAACGCCTACAATCCACCAATTCCGTCCCATTTTACCACCTACACCTTACCAGTTATCATTGCTCCCTCTCCCTTCATCCATATATCAAATTTGTATCCACCAAAATGACCACTTCATTGTCATGTCCCAAGTGCAAATTCATTGACTTTTGCAATCCCCACCAGAGGAGCACTGTTGGCTAAGCTTAAAAAAAATGTAAAAGTTACTTTTAGTTTCCAAACATGTCCGGATAAGTTTCTCTTTTCTTACTTTAAAGCAAAAATATACTAATTTTACAAATAATTTCAACTTATTATTTTGTGATTCTTTACTTATATAAGAGAACCTTTTAAGCTTCAATACTCTTTTCTACTTCCCACTGTTCCTGGAAGTCTTCCCCACCAGTCAAGCTTGTCTCCAAGCTCAGTGAAGCATGTAGATTACTCTGCCATCAATTTCCCCATCCACCTTTGATTAAATCCTTCCCCACCATACTTGGAACTCATAAAAGTAACATACCTATATTTCATCAATCCATGGTAAATATAGAAGTAATCTAGCAGTTAGGATTAGTAAAATTAGCTCGAAGAAGCAGAGTTGTGGTAGCAAGGCAGGGATTGGTTTAAGGCAAATTGAGATGAAGACAGGAATGTAGCAATTGGCAAATAATGACTACAATGGCGATGAAGGAAAAGTAACAGATTTGGGCTCGAAATAAAAAGAAACCAGCAAATGAGGGGTATCATATCCTCAAACTCGTTAAATCAGAAAGTGGAATATCGGAGGGAATTTCCACTATGACTATTTCCCTTGCTTTCTTCTCTACATTTGTCTTCAAAGCAAATATCACTTTAATTAGTTTATATTTTGGATTATCAGATTTTTTTAGTTTCTAATTGTTGCTCGAATATTCTTGCCCACATTTCTTTTTCCTAACATAAGAAACTGTCCTACCTCCCACACATATCATATGATGCAGCATCCCCAACTTCCATAAATTTTTTATCATGGAAAACCATAATTGGCTGTAAACGTCAATTCAAGAAAATAAGGTTTCCAAAGGTCTAAACCAACGCTCGCTTTCATCAGGATTTATAGTTCGAAAACAAACTCAAATACTTAGCAAGCAGTGAACGCTGAAAAGTGGGTAATTCATAATGAAAGTCAAGAGATGAAATTCGGTAGTGATGGATGCACCATGCTTCATAGAAATAGGACTTTATAATGAAAGTTCACTTAGATTATTGAATATTAGTGTAGGATTGTTCACTGACAAGTTAGTCGTCTATTCAATAAATGCAAAAGATTAAGCTATATTTAGGAAGATGGATTAGATAGTACTAGATGGTAATGAAGAAGGAAAATAAACTAAAATCTTGTCCATTGTACTGTTTAGTAATGCATAGCAAACAACCTTTATTATGTCCAGGGTAATGCATGATCTAGAAAGTATAATGACTAAACCATTAGGTAATGAGTTAGGCTCTCACCTTAAGATTTCCAGCAACATTGAAGGTCACTGCGGTAGTGGAGTGAATAACATAGAAGATAGAAAAGTTCAAGCAAAATGCCAGCACTCCAGACCCAAAAATAATAATGAGGGAAGAGAAAAGTGAGGGACATGTCTGAATCCATTCCATAACCCCCGATCCTTCAAGTAGTAAGGCTGGTACAGCCAAAATCATAGTAGCAAAAGGTGCCATGTAATAGACTGTGTTTATGCTGCAATAAGCATAAGAACCAATAACAAAGTCATTTGTAACCAAATTAAAGGAAACATATATAAATGGATATGTTATTAATAAAAACTTTCTCCGCACAGTTTGGATGCTTTGCTTTTCTCATCCGTATAAAACCAGAGAATTTCTATTCATACTGTTTGCTATATACTCAACATCCACAAGCTGATAAAGCCGATATACTGACTAAATCCCTCATAATAATAATTACAGTTGAAGGCACGTGCGATTCTGAACCCAAAATAAAGTTTGTTGGGAAGGATGCTCAAAAAGCAACAGAACTGTCACCAACAAAGAAAACTTTCACAAGACTATTCTTTCCCATTACCACTAACCTAGTTTGATTCTTTTACTTTTTCCTTGTCATCCTACTTTTGCATAAAAAAAACAAATACTCAATTAACTATCATTGTGAATGCCATTCATCCTCAGCAAACAGTGCATTGGGAAAAATTAACTTGCAAAAAAGGAGAACAAAACTTCTGAGGAAAGATGTGAGAAGTGCACAAAATCTACTTGTTAATAAACAAATCTGCACCGAACAAGAAAGTCTGTGTAAGAGGCTGAGAATTCATGCACCTGAAGAAAACTTAATCAAGTTTTCTCTTTCTAAAGAAACAAAGTAATTTTAATCTCAGGAAAAAATGACAGTTAAGAATTCGATCCCTTTATTCAGCAACAAAAAGAAAAACAGAATTCCATTCTTCACTTACTCATAAAAAAGAAAAAAAGAAAGAGTTAATTTGCTGTGATTAGTATTGTTAATGAGTTAATTTGCTGTGATTAGTATTGTTAATTAGTTGTCGCTTGTAATTATTATGTTTTATTTTTGGTGGAGTAGAGAGAAAGGGAAACAAAAAGGGAGGAGGAGATGATACCTGTCAAATTTGTAACCATGCAGCAAAGACTCTGCAAGAATGGTCTTCGTTGATGTAGCAAGGCAACCAAACAAAGCAGCACAAAAACCAAACATATTAAAACTGAGCTCTGTGATAGAAGTGAGGAGAATTCCTCCAACAATGGGAACAAGAGAAGCCCAAATTTGCCACTCAAAGTATTTTCTCCAGACTAGCCACTGCAAGATAACTGTTTCAATTGTATTAGAGTCAGATGTACCATTTTCTTGCTGAGGTAAAACGGGATGAGAGGGAATGCATAATTTAGTTTATTAACACTAAATCAATACTGCAACTATCAAATGATGCCAATTATAAGAAAATTCATCGTGTACACTCAGATAATATATTATGGTTGACTTCTTTGACTGGTTTCACTCTATCTTTGAATAGCTTGCTGTGAACCAATTCTGAGTCCTCTATATATACTTGTCTCAGAACTCACCTGTTGTTGCTGGGGTAAACGACTTTATAGTTTGCATAAAAGAAACGGGAATATAGCGCAGGCTCACATTCCCCAAGACTATGTTGATACAAAATACAAAGGACATGGGAAAAATCCTCCTCCAGCGATCTTCAGGATCAACCGGAATGAGTGGCTTAAGCTTCAGCACTTTGATTACCAAGTATGCACCAATTGCTGAACATATAAAGTGTATGCATGACACTGACAATGGATACTTGAAATCTATTTTCTGTTGAAAAAAATGGAACTACGTAAGTAAAGACAACAACCAAGTACTAAAACATCAATACTAAAGAATAACAAAATAAAATTTTCCTGCACTACATTTCTGCAATATCAAGATTCAACATGCGAGCACATTGCTTGCTCTTTTCAAGACCACTTAAGTTTGAATTATGATACAAAGTAAAAGAAATAAATTTGATCAGAATCATCATCGTTTAACTAAACTAGGCTTCAACAGTTAATTTCACTAGTAACTCCAGAGTAGACTCCAAAAATAGCTCAGATTCTTTACAGAGAGAGACGGAATTGCACAAGTAAAGACAACCACCACATATCAGTTCAGCATTAGTGAAAAATATTTAAACAAATATTTTCCTGCATTACATTTCCACAGATGCTTATGCCTATGAGCCACATTTTTTTTTTAAATGAGTTTTAAAATAGTGAATTTTGTGAGAATGTGTGGTTTAAAAGTAGGAAAAAGTTTGAAATTATGTGCAAAATATTTTATTGTGAGAATGTGTGGTTGAAAAAGAGTTCGAGAAAAAATGGATTTTTAGATAATAAGGATCAAACAGGGGCAATATAAGAAATAAAGTGATCGTTGGACTACAGAAGAGTATTAAGATTCAATATGTAAGCAGTTGCTTGCTCCTTTCATGGTCATTTAAGTTGAATTACGGTACAAACATCAAAAAATAAGTGTGGTCAGATCGTCATTTGTTTGGATATTCTAGGCTTCACCAGTTAATTTTCATGAGTAAATACATCATAGACACCATCTACACTGCAGATTCTTCACTTTTTCATGGTGATATCTGAACCCCATGCAATAAGAATAAATCTTCTCAAACAGGACAGGCACCCTGCCCCCCCGGGGGGGGGGGGTGTGTCCGCCTGGATAAACAGGGCCACGTGGCCTTGTTTATATAGCACTCCCCATGCAATAAACTCAACTCCACAAAGTCCCAAGAGGATTAGTTCAATCCCACTCACTCAAATGAGTCTGAACGCCAAAAAGAGAAAAGGAATGTTAAATAATTGAATTACCAAAATTAATAAGGAATAATATTTAAAAATAGAAATCAAACACAATTAACTGATAATAAAAAATTATGCTATTATCATATTTGAAGAATTCAAAATTTCGAAAAAATTTCTACATACAGAAACTAAAGCCAGCTCATTATTCAGTAGATACACACAAAGTACCAGTAACAGTCTGTGGCTCTAAATCTTCATCGAATTCAATAAATGATTCATTCATCAGGCAAGATTTAGCTTTCTAACCGCAATGTGAAAGGAAAAGAACCCAAAATTCCAGCTGAAAATGTAATGATTTTATACAGATAAATATATAAAATTCAAAAATGTGAAACGACGTCAAGATCATTAGAAACGAAGAATAAGCAATAATTTATAAAAGAAAAGGAACCCAATAATAAAAATATATGAAAACTGAAAAACGAACGCAAATCACATAAATGTGTACATACAGACCGACCTGAAAGATCCATTTGTTCACGATAATAACAGTGACATTGAAACCCCACCATTGAAGAATAGCTAACATGGATCGAATTACACTCCATTGGCACAAGATATTGTCCTCCATGATTTTTCTCCTTTTTCTTCACCAACCCAGATCACAATCCAATACAATCAACCAATTTTTCTACAAAAAAAAAAAATCCCAGGAAAAACGAAAATTAAAGAAACCCAGTTGAATTATTTAGAAAAGGCTGTTATTATATGCAACATTGAAGCGGCGTTGGAAGGCAGTGTGGCGTATTGTGGAGTGCCGTTTTGGTGTGAGTTGTACACACAAAATATTTTGATTTTCGGTTACATAATTTGCGAAAGAATTCTAAATGTATTTGCTCGTCTCACTGCCTTCACGCCTTTTGGCCTCTTTAATGGTAAAGACGTAAAGTTCTCACAAAAACACCACTCACAATTCACAAACAAGGGGTGACAAGAAATGTACGAGGAAAATACTGCAAGAATTTTTACAGCAGTTTTTGACTTGACGATGACAAAAAAACCCAACCAAACAGGTATACAATTTTCCTTATGAATATGGATCTTATAAAAATAGGATCAAATCAATGAAATAATTTGATTGAGAGAAAATGGAGAACTAGTCTGATACTGGATATGAATTTACACATATAATTTTAAATATGTAATTTCATTTTAAAAGTGAATCGAAACTAATTTCACCAGTTAGTTCAAAAAATATATATATTTAATTTATCCCTTGACTCTTCGCTTTTCTGAGTCAATTTCAATCATGTATATATTTCACAAACCAATTGAGAATACAAGAGAATAAAAACTAATTAAAAGATGGTATAGTACTTTAACGTTTGCACGTTCTCGGATTTACCTATTTAAAAATATGTGTCATAATAATAGGATTTGGTTTATTCTCAAACTAGGATCCTATTACAAGAAAATCACTATAATCAATTTGTTTTAAAAAAAAATTCATCATTGGTCCTTAATCTATTGTTCCAATAATAAGTTGTTCTCTTTCTAAAATGAGCAACTTCCGTTCATTATAACTGTACATGTCCCATTTTCAATTTTAACAATTGCTAGAGATTGTGACTATTTTGGCTAATTGGCACAAAACGTCCTTACCTTTCAAGTCTATTGTGGAAAACGTCCCTACCTTTCATTTTTTGACATTTTTGCCCTCATTTCAACATTTCTTTGCGCTGGACGTCCTTCCGTCCATATTCCGTTAGTTTTTCTGTTAATTAAAGGGTAACTGGCACAAAACGTCCCTACCTTTCAAGTCTATTGTGAAAAACGTCCCTACCTTTCATTTTTTGGCATTTTTGCCCTCATTTCAACCTTTCTTTGCGCTGGACGTCCTTCCGTCCATATTCCGTCAGTTTTTCCGTTAATTAAATACAAAAATACATTTTTCTTTCCATAAACAAGGATAAAATTGTCCTCACCAACTTCACCCCTTTTTCCCGCCATCAACTTAGTCCATAAGTAACAGTAGCAGC